CCTTCTGAGGGTAATAGGCTCTTCAATCAGCTTTAGTTTGGGTTTTCCTTCAGCTAATCACTTACCAACCCAGCTCTCAGTTTTCTCCTTTTTTCTAAGTTGAAAATCCTGTCTCTGTCCTAACTTCTTTGCATGGCTGGAGAGGGTAAGAGGGATGATGGAGAAGGTAGTCTTGGGAAGTGAGATTATGGCCTTTATAGCTGGCAAAATGGACATTAGCACATCTGTTGTGTGGATAGTATCCACATATGCTGGGCTATGATGGACAACACGGCCTGCTGAATCCTGGTTCTGTAGAGTGTTTAGTTAACATCTTACCACTAATTACCAAGCTCGCTGAGAGTAATGTGTGCTTTCTAGGTCCATCTGGAATCTTCTCATGAGTCTACTTCTAGCCAGCTTTGTGACCTTGAACTAGTCATGTTCCCAATATAAGCCTCCTGTTCCTCATCTGTAAAATTAGGTTGGACTAGAATGATCTCTAAGGTCTGCCTCTCCATGCCCTAATGTTCTGTGCTTCTAATGCAGATAGATCTGGGTCTTGTTGGCCAAGCATGCTATGATGATCTCTTGAGGAGAGGGAAGTTTGGCGCTATCGCAATTGTTAAAATAGAACAGGCTTCTGAATTGTAGCCAGGACATAATGAATCCCATTTCTGCAAAACAATGACGACAGGACCGTGTAGTGGAGTCTGTTGACGTGGCTGGCCCATTTGGCTCAACATCCTCTGCAACAAATATAAATGTGAGACTCTGGCAAAGGAGTTTTAATGTGGTGGTGCCTGAGGAACTTCCGAGTAAAGCCAGGTGTGTGAGTCACTGAGTTGGTCTTACATTCTCCAGAGCTGATGGAACTGTGGCTCCAGGTTATATTTACATTGGCTTAGTGGGAGGTGGGGGATGGGGGGAAGGGACTCTCTTCTAGACTTGTGTCCAGGCTCCAGACTGCCAGAGTCGGGAAGGGTATTTGGGAAGGCTTCACTTTCCAAATGGGGACCCCAATGGCTGAAGGAAAAAAGCTTGCTCAAGACTTGCAGCGGGCATGTAAGAGCTATAGAAACTTCTGGACCCTTCTTGACTTCTCTGTGGCTGGGATTGTACTCCCCTAGTAGCACCTACCTGCCCCCGCAGGTCTGACAGCTTCTTTCTTCCCAGGTACCACTGCCAGCTCGTCTGGTTCCTTCCTCTAGAAGGTGTGTTTGGCAATCCTTCCACCCAGTCACCGAGGACTTTGTCTAATGGGCTGTGGAGATTGACCTTTATCCCCAGGGACAAAAGGAAACCATCAAAGATGGCATTACAAATATAAGGCATTTGTTGAGCCCTAAACACTGATAGGACTTGGGGGTGGGGGAAGGAGACATGTAGGGGGCAAGGAAAGGAAATACAAAGGGTCCTGCTTTCAAAAAATGTACAGTCTTCCTGGATGCACTGAAGGTACCAAACAGGCAAGTGACCTGATCTGTGTGTAGAAGGTGAAACTAGAAACAGACATAGATGCGGGGGAGGCTGGCCCAGAACTCAGAGAAAGATGGCATCTGAAAGAGGCTGCTCAGAGGGATTGTGAAGGATTTTGCCTTCCAGATGGAGTTACAGGACTTGTTCACTTACTGGACTTGGAGGTGGGTAACGGTGAGGTGAAGGGGGACCTGGTGATGCCAGGGCTCTGGCTGGACTATTTCAGCTGTGACTGCATAGGTGGCCTGCGCAGAGGCGTGGGATGGGTGCAACTCTTGGTCCTAAGGTGTCCTTAAGGACAGCGCAGCCTCACTGGGGTACAGGTACCTGCAACATCTGATTTGGGTTTTGTCAGCCAGTTGTCTGTGTTCTCCCCCTCTACCCCCCCAATCCCAGGAAAGGTGGGGTGACTAGGGGCTAGTCCTTGCTGCTGGGGAGCTGAAGCATGTGAGTGCTTCCAGAAAGATTTTTATGCATGTTTACTCGCTATTTTTAACCTGAAAAATGCTTTGAAAGCTGTCTTGTCTCCAGTAAGCAAAGAAAGCTAGAGACGAGGGGACAGGCTCACATCTTCTCACTCCTGCTCACTGCCTTATACTTACTAGTTTCTGTTTTGGTGTAAAGGAGCTGGAAGTAAAAAAAGGAATAAGAGATATAGTCTTTCCTCTCAAGGAGTTTATAGTTTAATTGAAAGGACAGAAGCTACTGGAAAGCAGACAATAGCCAAGCAGTGATGCAAGGGAGGAAGTTCCCGGAATGGGAGCTCAGATTCCCCTAGTAACCTGGCAAGGCTCTGCCTAGAAGGTGATGGAGAACGGGGGTGGAAGCTCAAGAGAGCACAGGGAGGGAGAGTGGGTCAAAACTGCAGTGAGATAGCATCTCGTGTCTTTGAGAACAGCACATACTAAGAAGCCCCCAAAAAGTACAGGAGAGGATGCGGAGAAAGAGGAAGCTTCTTTCACTATTGCCAAGAAGGTGAGCTGCGGCAGCCATTGTGGAAAGCAATCTGCATTTACCGTTAAAAACTGTATGACCTGGAAATCCCATTCTTAGGTATCTAGAACATGAAACCAGCACCCCAGAGAATCATATGCTCCACAGTGTTTGTTGCAGCGTTATTTACAACAGCGAGGACATGGGGACAACCCAAGTGGCCCCTGATAGAGGACTGGATTAAGAATTCGTGACGTAGCCACACCGGGAATTACTATTCACAAGGAAGGCGGCAATAATGCCTTTTACAGGAAAATGGAAGGTGTCTGAGGGAATTGCATGTGGCGATGCAAGTCAGAATGACAAAGACAAATACTGGACTTTACGTAGCAGATGATTCAATAGAACATTTTTATATAAATTAGTGAACACTAATAAATTGGGGCTACTGAGGCTAAGAGGGATCCGGAGGGGGAAAAGTGGGGAAAAATTTTTGATTCTCAAAAAATATATAATGACTGACCAAAAATTGGGGAGCTCACCCCCAGGCATTAAAAACAATGAACAGGGCCTCCCTGGTGGCGCAGCGGTTGAGCGCTGGGTTGCGAAGCTGCCGGCAACCTCTGCTGCGCCGGTTCCATCCCCAGCCGCCGGCAAAAAAAAAAAAACAACAAAAAACAGTGAACAACAGAGGGAACTGTGTGTGCAAAGGTGCAGAGGTGGGAATCTGGGGATTCCTGGGGGTATAACCTGGGCTCTTCCCAGGTATTCAGTTGCTGCATCTTCTGGGAATGTAGTCCTTTGTGGTCTCTTACAGCTTGGGGAACAATGCAACATGACAGAGTAAGCCAAAGGGACCAGAGGTGTCCCCCAAGATCCAGTTCCTCCACCAAGAAGACCAGTTCCAGTCTCCTGGAAAAAGATGTCCATTGAGGCCTCACCAGTCAGGACTTGTGTCCCTCAGTCTCACTCTGAGTTTTTGTCTGGCAGACCGCCAGTTGGGGATGGGTCCCCAGATGCAGAAACTGATCTGAGGTTTGAGAAGCTCTGTACTTGCCCCAAGAAGGTCCAGAGGTTGGTTACTGAGGGCTGGGGAGCAGGAGTGGTTCTGCTGGAGGGAGCTACCCAGCCAAACTGAGGAAAGGGAAGGCCAGAGCACCCCCCCCCAGCTCCTGCCCCACCCACTTCCTCCTCTGAGCTTGCTCTTTGGGCTCTCCCTGTCCTCAGGGCTTGATGAGCAGGGAGCCTTCCCAGACTGAGGCCTCTGGCCCCGGGCTCACCTTGGAAGAGCCTGATTCTGGCTCTTGGCACACTGGTTACTCAAGGGTTAAAGTTTTCACTAAACTTCCCCACTGGGGCTGGTCCCTGGGAACTGGAAGGCTAGCAGCCAGCAGGGTCAGCCCAGGGAGGGTACTCCAAGGTGGACAGAAAGGAACTCAGAGGCAAACAGGACCAAGGGCCAGTCTAGCCCACCCACAACAGGAGCCAAAGGGTTAACAAAAGCAGCCGGTGCTGATAAAATGCCCCAAATTCCTGGTCCTGCCTCCAGTGGGAAGGGCATCTGGCAAATGTCAGCGATAAAAAATACATTTTAATGGCACATGATGCAGCCGCTACCGTGGGGTGCAGCCAAACTAAGCGGGTTTGGAGCAGCAACTACTGTGTGTTACTCCTGGGTCCTTTGGGGCACCTGCCTCCCATAAGCCCAGGTATCCTCAGGGGCCCTAGGGTGCCTGGTCTTCTCTGACATTATTTTGAGAATTTTGCTTGCCTCCTACCTTGGCACCTTGAACTTACACCCATGATAGAGTTTCCCTCCAGACTGTGGGCTGTCTCGGGCAGTCTGAGTGCAGACATCTGGGTCTCCCCAGCATCCCCTCCGCAGGCCTCTGCAAATGCTGAGAAATGAAAGAACCAATGAGTGACTGGAGGAGCAAGGTCAGACTGGGACATTTCCCCCAGCTCCCCCTACCCCCCATTCCGCAGAACCCTGGGCTGCTCATAGCTCATGGCACAGAAGCTGCTTCTGTTGGTAACACATGTGAGAGGAGGGAGCTGAGCACTCATTTCACAGAGGGTGCTTCTAGAAAAGGCAGGTCAGGAGAGGGAGAAGAGGCACAGAAGTGAGGAGAAGCACAGGACAGGTCAGCCTGCAGGGATAACCAAGGCAGGTAAGTTATGTGTCATGATCCTGTTTAACAAATATGAAAACTGAGGCTCAGAAAAGTCCCATGACTTGCCTAAGATCACAGTAAGGCAGTGGCACTCTGGACTTCTGCCTGCAACTCAGAATTCTACCTACTACACAATGCTGAGCTCACCTGGGGCTTTTAAATGGTCAAGTTCTCCATGGCCACACTGAAGCCATTGGTAACTTCAGGCTGGTCCTGGAGCCAGGAGTTAGTGCTAGAGCAGAGGCTAAGTGAGGACCTTGGAGACTGAGTTTGGGGTCCAGGGGCCTGGTTATCTGCATGAGAGCTTTAGAATCTTTCTGGACTCAGTCCTGGAGCTGGGCTTTTAGGAGAATGAGGCAGCTTGGAGACAACTGAATGAGTCCAGGGACCAGATGGTGGGGACCTGGAGCTTAGATTGAGAACCTTCTTTTCCAGATCATTCTCAACTCCATGCATAAGTATCAGCCACGGCTACACATCGTGAAGGCTGACGAGAACAATGCTTTTGGCTCCAAAAACACTGCCTTCTGCACCCACGTCTTCCCAGAGACTTCCTTCATCTCTGTGACCTCCTACCAGAATCACAAGGTACAGCCACAGCCTCCACACCCCCTCCACTGACACCACCCTGCCATCTGCCACTATGAGGCAGAGTGAAGCCCCAGGTGTAGCCCAGGTCCCAGTGCAGGGACCTCAGAAACCTGCTGTGTCCCTCAAAATAGTGAGAACATTGAGTAATGAGCAGGAAAGGAGAGCAGGCTCATAAATCTCTGGTGCCAAGTAATTAGGACTCTGTTTCGGGGAAGGGACAACTTTGGCATCTGTAAAAATCAGGAGCATGAAACTTGCTACAATCTTCTCTCTGGTGGGAGTCAAAGGTAGGGTTTAGGGCCTGCAGAGAGGGGGGCTGATGGGGAGAGGAGCCGTGGGGAACACTGTCAGTTGTGAGGTTACCGAGAGACTGAGCATCTGAGGGCCTTTCTGAGTTGAGGTCAGAGGTGCTTCCCACCCAACAATTCACCCTCCCCAGCCAACCACCAAAATTGCCCCTGATTCCTGCACCAGCCGCCTTCCCCGGCCCTCTGCCCTTGTCCATGCCACCCTCCTCAAAGGGATTTTTACTTGCTACACAATGGAACTGATGGGGTGTTGGAGTGTCTTTGAGGGGTGCCATGGGCCATGGTGAATTTTAGGCAGAAGAGACAGAATCAGATTTGCATTCAGAAGGGTCACTCAGAACCTGGCATGACAGTTGCACTGGGCAGGGTGACGTGGGCTAAAACTGTTATAGGCACCCAGGAAAGAATGACGAGGGACCGAAGGCAGGTAGCAGAGTGGGGCAGAAGAGCGGGAGATGAATCAAGTTCTGCAGGGAGTAGAATGAGCAAGAGCCAGGCATGAGTAAGATGTGAATGGCGAGGCCCGGGGGACCCACTACTCCCAACAGGCTCAGGTCCTGCCGTAAATTCCGAAGAGGCCTGGGGTGGCGCAGGAGGGCCAGGGGCCAGCCCAGTCCTCTACTACCAGTGACTCTGCTGTGTGTCCTCTCCCGACAGATCACACAGCTGAAAATTGAGAACAACCCTTTTGCCAAGGGATTCCGGGGCAGTGATGACAGTGACCTGCGTGTGGCCCGGCTGCAGAGGTGGGACTGCCCCGGCTTGGGGGCAGGCAGGCGGGCAGACTGGGTTCAGGAGCATGGGCTCAGTAACCCTCAAAGTGTCTTCACTCTCTTCCTGTCTCCCTCTGATTGCGCCCCCCACCCCTCCAGCAAAGAATACCCCGTGATCTCTAAAAGCATCATGAGGCAGAGGCTCGTGTCCACCCAGCTCTCGGCCAAGCCCGACGTCAGCCCCTTGCACGGCGCGCACCAGGCCCTCCAGCACTACCAGTATGAGAACGGGGCTCACATGCAGTTCGCCACGGCAGAGCCCCAGGATCTCCCCCTCAACACCTTCCCAACCCAGAGGGACTCCAGTCTCTTCTATCACTGCCTGAAAAGACGAGGTAGGGCTCTCCTGGTCTAGTATCTCAGTGGGTCAGAGGAAGGGTGCAGCTGTCCTCACAGATACTCCCCGCTGCACGTGGGACACATGTGCACATGCCCCTGCACGCACCTGTTGCTCTGAGGTCACTGCTTGGAGAGCCCCCGTGGGGTGGGCAGGTGACGCAGAGTCAGCTGGGCTTGGCCTTGCAGTGTGGGAGGAAGCAGACGTTGCAATCCAGCGGTTTTTAGATTGGGGTTGTCATGATCAAAGCTGCCTCTGTCAGCACAGGGATGACGTAGAGTCGCGAGGCCAGATCTCCACAATACCAGGATCTGTAAAGTCCTCTCGAGAGTGGAAACGAGCTGTTGTGGATGCAGAAACACAGGCAACAGAACTCTCCATGCTGGGTTCTCTCTGCAGAAGAGGAGCCCTGAGCTGGAGCCCAGCACACCCGTGCTCTGCTACCAGGTGTCGGGTTCTCCATGAACTAGGGCTGATTAATGTTGCTGTGCCAGAGGACCTCACAGGATGGCTGAGATTCTCTGGGGGAAGAGTTTGAGGATTTTTGTTTACAATCCAGAATATTCTCTCAGCTCAGTGCCTAGGGACTAGCCAGCAAAGCTCTGAGCGTCCCCTGCAGCCGTCCCATTAGGACTAACGACCTAGGACAGGGGTTGGCAAACTACAGCCCTTACCAGATCCAGCCTGCTGCTGGCTTTTGTTTGGCCTCTGAGCCATATGAAGTGGTTTTTACATTTTTAAATAGTTGGCAGAAAGCAAAAGAACACTATTTCATGGTATTTGAACGTTACATGAAAGTTGAACTTCAGTGTCTATAAGTGTAAGTTATTGGAACAACCACACGCATTACTCACCTGTGGTCTATGGCTGCTTTTAGGTGAAAGCAGCAGAGTGGGATAGGTAGGGCTTGGCCCATCAAGCCAAAAATATTTGTTATCTGGTTCTTTCCTGAAAATGTTTGCTACTCCTGACCTAGAATGACCCGTCACTTCCCAAGTCTAAGAGCTTAGTGCCGGGAGGAGGGAGGAATTTGGAGAGAGGATGGAGAGGACCGATGAGTGAGGGATGGAGAGAGCTGGGTAAGACAGAGGGGCAAGTTCTTCCCTCGGGGTAGATGCCTCCAGGCGGGGGGGGGGGGGGGGGAGGAGAAGAGGTGAGTGTAGGTCTTCAGACTCCCCCAGACTCTGCCCTGTGTGTATACACACGGTTCCCAGAATGAACCCCCAGAGACACCAGTAGGAGGGAGACCAGGACAAGCGTTCTTGGATCTGCTGAGTGGGCTGCTGCCCAAGTCCTCAGGCCTGGGTCATCCCTAGATCCCAGGGAGGACCTGCCACCCCAGATAGTCACAGCCCCATGAAGGAGGATCAAAGACACATATACGTGGTTTGGGGCAACGGATGTCATCTTTCTCCAGATGACAGCTTAGCCTTGAAAGTACGAGTCACCTTTTCTTTATTATCAGCTCCGCTTCTTAATTTTATAAAAACTATTATTATTCTGAAAGCTGTAATGATCTGATGGGGCTTCTTGACATATGCAGGGTTCACTTCCTCTTCTAAAAGCAGTAGGAACGTGCTTGTTTGTAGCTTTAAGTCCTTCTGAGAACTGAGGATAGAGGCAGAAACTTTGTGGCTTTAATTTTCTGGTTAATTCAGACAGATGTGGCCTCTGGGCCTGGTTTGGCCTGGCAATCACCTCCACTTTCCTTGGCCAGGGTGGGCCTCGCCTAAGCATGCAAGTGCACATTAAGGCCTCTTACCATCCCCGAGAGTCAGGATGGCAGAGGATCAAAGCCATATGCCGTCTGGCTAAGCACACCACACAGCATCCAGAGATGCAGGGTCCATAGCTGACCACTTCTTGGCTTCTGCCACCTTATAAAAAAGCTGTCGCTGATGAAAATGGTTCTGGCAACACGGGGCAAGGGTGGACCCCAAATGACAAGGGTAGGCTGTCCTGGCATCCAACCGGCGTGTTCTGGGCCCTGGGCTGGTGGAAATGGTTCTCTCTGAAGGTTTCTTTGTCTTCCAGCAGATAGTGCCCGCCATCTGGACTTACCCTGCAAGCGTTCCTATCTGGACGCTCCCTCTGCGGTGGGGGAAGATCATTATTTCCGTTCTCCCCCTCCATACGACCAGCAGATGCTGAGCCCCTCCTACTGCAGTGAGGTGACACCAAGGGAGGCCTGTATGTACTCAGGTTCTGGGCCCGAGATCGCTGGGGTGTCCGGGGTGGATGACTTGCCCCCACCCCCACTGAGCTGTAACATGTGGACGTCAGTCTCCCCGTACACCGGCTACAGCGTTCAGACAATGGAGACGGTGCCTTACCAGCCCTTCCCCGCGCACTTCACTGCCACCACTATGATGCCTCGGTTGCCTGCTATCTCGGCTCAGAGCTCCCAGCCGCCAGGAAACACCCACTTCAGCGTCTACAACCAGCTCTCACAGTCTCAGGCCCGAGAGCGGGGGCCCACTGCCTCTTTCGCCAGGGAGCGCGGCCTCCCCGCCGTGTGCGAGAGGAAGCCGCCCTCTCCACACCTGAATGCTGCCAACGAGTTCCTCTACTCTCAGAGCTTTTCCTTGTCCCGGGAAGCTTCCTTACAGTATCATTCAGGAATGGGGACTGTAGAGAACTGGACTGACGGATGACTCCCCCGTCTCAGCGCAGCCCCAGGACCGCGTTAACCCAGTACTAGCCTCTGTGGGTGGCCTGCACTACCAAGACACAAGGGAAGGTATTCCAAAGGGAGGGGCGTGTGTGTGTGTGTGTGTGTGTGTGTGTGTGTGTGTGTAGAGCATCTGTCTTCTGACCTATGACTGTGGTCATGATGAGGGAAAAACCCACAGTTACCTAAGAAATTAACCTGGCTGCAGGACCTGGGTGCGTTGTTATCTGACATCTCTTGACATACCCACGGGTGGGGCGGGAGTGGAGAGGTCATATGAGTTATTTAAAGGTTTTATTATATAATCTTTAATTTACTCAGGGGGGCAGGTGATGAGGTCTCCCCTACAGGGAAAGTTGGGGGAAGAGTCTCCTCGCTGGGGTGGGAGGGCTCCGTGCACATCTTAGGGCCCTGACCTGTTTGCAAGGGGAGCTGAGAATCTTTTTGGGAGATGAAGTTCCACAGCTGGGGCTCCCGTGAGACCACCTGAGACTTGGGCTCAGCGAAGCACAGTGCACACTGAGAAAAGAGCCAGCTGCTTCTTGGTGACCTGGAAATTGGTCCCTGGAGCTCTGAGCTCTGATGATGACTTCCAGAGCAGGTCCTATGCTGTGTTACCTGACGGTATTAAAATTTTTTTTTTCCTTCAAGAGGAGGGAAAATATAACCAGCAGGATCTCTGTCATCATTTAGAATTTTTCACAAAATGCAAAGCCCTCCCCTTCTGTGCCCGACATGCAGTCTCTCACTCTTGCTGGTGTGTAAGACTCGGCCTCTCTGACACCATCTGCTTCCCATGACTGGCGACTAGGAAGCACGCCTCACCTGGCCTCGTCCCGGGGAGACCACATTGGAGCTGCTGTCAGGCGTCTCCAGCCTGTGCCGCTTCCAGAAAATCCATGCCCCTGGAGCAAGAAAGCCCAGCAGAAATAAAAAGAATTGGGAAAACATTCATTTCTTCCAGAAAATTTAGCCAGTAAGCACAGAGGAGCAAGGGTAATTCTTGTGCAGTGAGGTGGATCATGTAGTTCTCAGCCCAGCTCTTTAGTATTGAACGTCACCAGACCATCCGCGTGGTTGGTGTGAACTCTGTAATCAAATTTGGGAAATCACTAAACTCTTTGCATGCAGAATAGCTATTTATATATTAAATAAATAAATAAATATAAATATATATATATCACAAATGCAGGCCACATGTCAAATTCAGCTTTGCTTTTTACAAATGAATAAACTTAAAATAAAATGAATATTGGAGGGGGTATTTGGAAAGACATCTATTTAAATGACATCTATTTTATTACACATTTGATGTTAAGAACTAAGAATGGTTTAGATAAAACATAAATAAATATATATAAATATATATAAACACACACATTACAGATTAAACTTTATTAGAAGACACATTAGCTAAAGGGGATCTGGAACTTCGAGTGTTTTGTTTTATATATAGCATGGCCCTTTTATTTTACATATCGGAACATAAAGCCATTTTACAACTGTGAAGTGTGTGGATGTTCTTTACTGTTGCCTTGTTCGTTCGTGGCTCAGCCAATGGTCTGTGCCTCCCCTTTTGCTTGTATTTTTTCTCAAGGACTAGGTGGAGCCCGTGGTACCTCTGAGCATTTGTAGCATGTAGCCTCCTAGCTGAGAGTGAAGTATCTTAGGACCAGTGGAGTGATTGTACCTTTGACTTCATGCTACTCTCTGTGGGTCTGGCTCTGGGGTTCACAGGCACCCCCAGAAGGGCAGGGAAGGCCATGTGCAAGAATCTGTCACCTTTTAGTCACCAACACACAACCTGGTGATTTAGGGGAGGTGGCCTCACAAGTAGGGAGTTCTTGGGAGGATTTTTGCAGGTGCTAAAGTAAAAAAAAAAAAAAAAAAAGAGCAGCACCTGGGGCTTCCTGGAGCAGACAGAGGGATGAGCTCATCAGCCACCTGCACCCCAGGGAGGAGTATTTGAGGCCTGGCAGAGCCCACCATGAGCCCACTCCTCTGCCAGATCCCTAAACTTTGGCCCCAGGATGGAGGGGGAGAAAAAAGAGAGGCAATGCAGTCCAGGTCACCAACTGGAGCAGAAGAGAAGCTGGCGTAGGAAGGTGCTGTCGGGTCTCCCTCTTTACAACCCTGCGCCTCTGGGCCCCTGCCCTCGTGGCTCCTTTTCCAGAGCTGCTCAGCCCTGTCCACCATCTTCATCAGGATTGAGACAAAATATCCTGCTGCGTGAAAACTCAACCTTGTCTCCTGTTTTTCTGGAGTCTTCCCTTGTGGCTCTCGGGCTGCTCTCTGGATGGACTTCTTGGAGAAGGCAGCCAAGCTCCTTCCTCCCTTGGCTGTTGGTTCCCACCTGGCTTGTGGGTGTCAGAGAAAAATTTAACTGCGCTCGGGACGGGAGCTCTTCCTAACTCACACCTGCTCTGCTCTCTCTGGGTGAAGACAGCATTTTTGGATACTCCATGTATCCTAGAACCCCAGGCAGAGGGCTGGGAGCTAGACGTGAGTTCCCAGGCACACTGGAGACAGTTTGCTGAGTCTTGATAGAGAAAGCTTCCTGTGGACATTCTGGAAAGCATGAGGTCCTCAGGCTTCCCCACCTGGGCATGGCTACAGCAGGGTCTGCAGTGGGATTTGTGGAACTTTCCTGCCCTCTGAATCAACAAGTCAATAAAAAGGGGGCACATGGGATACCGTGGAACAAAGGGCACCATTCAGTAGCGCCAACAGGTCATACATCATCGGGCCAGAAACCTGCCACATGAAAAGTGTTTCTGCTTCTGCTGTGCCTTGAGTGGGTGGGGGAAAGCCAGGAACTGCCTATAGCTGCGAGGCTACTACAGGCAGGCAGCCCCCAGGGCTCTGCTCTCCAGCCCAAGGCCAGGCCACTGGGGGAAGCGGAGCTCAGCCACAGCTCAGCCACCCAATTGCTCTGCAACACAAGGGCCTAGAATAACAGAGGGGAGAATGAAAAGAGAAGCGGGGGCAGGCTGACAAATTGTTAGAAAACCAAACCAACTTCCAGCCTCAGCTGGGCCTCCGGGGGTCAAGAGGCCTTGGCTCTCCCCACTAATGGAGCCTGCTGGAGGAGTAGCAGCCCCAGCCTTGCAGTGTCTTATCTTACAACATAAAATTAAAACCCACTTAAAAGGCCGGAGGGCATGTTAACATTCCCCCTGCTGTCTAATTGAAGTAGTTCCCAGTGCACAGGATTTCACTTGAAAGATGTCTCCCTCCAAGCCCCAGTTCTGCTTGGCGGGCAGGGGGAGGTGGGGGAGAGGGGAGGAGACTCATTTCAAAGACCAGCACAAGCTCAGGCTGGAAAAGCTCCAGTTCTGTGTGCCACCCCTACCTAGGCGGCAGGTGGCGACAGCAAAGGTTAGGACCGGTCTGTTTTTTTTTTTTTTTTTGTCTTTTACAAAAATTTACAAATTCATTAGCAGCTGTGTCAGCAGAGGCCAGAATCCTGACAAGAATCCCTGGTAATGATTCAGCTATGAGGATCCCTGCCCCCACACCTGGCGGTTCCAGAGACCAAGAGTTTCTATCCCGTCCCCCTACAATGCCCTCCTCCCTCCTATGCAAATATATTACAGGTCTCCAAGGCATCCGGAATCAATCAGGGACATCCTGTAAAGGTGATGAACTTGCACTGGCCATCCTGAGTAATGGGAACCAGTCAGTCTGAAGCTGGCGGAGACTGAAAGCCAAGGTGACAGCTATTAAGCAATTGTGTGCAGAACAAAATGGCAAAGGGGCGGGTAATCAATTCAATTTCGGTGGGCAACCCCAGCAACTGCAGCGTCTGTCGCAACTGATTAGAGAGGGCCTGGCTGGAGCTTTCAATGCGAGCCCATCACAGATCAGAAACAGGCCCAGGATGAAAAGGGAATGAACAGTCTCCTGAGAAGCAGGCGATGAAGGACTCTGTTTTATGTGATTCTGTTCTTCCCTCTCTCCTTGAAGAAAGGGTAGAAAAAAAGTCAGCAGTTTGGAGATTAGATAGTTTTCTTTTCAGCCATTTATCATTATGAAGGAAAGTAGACAGGGCAGGGGCAGAAAAATCTCCAGTGGGATTTCTGCAAAGTCTCACTAAGAAGGACCAGGTTTACACTTTGCAGCTCCAACAGCTCCTGCTTATTACCATGGCCTGCTGGGGTCTGCAGAGCATCCAGAGTCCCTCTTTTCTAACAAGGGCAAGCAGGTCCCGGGGCTCCGAGACGCACAGAAATTCCCCTGCAGAAACCCCGAACCACCAAATTGTATGATTTGTGAAAATTAAAGGCTGAGGCGGAACACCAGGGAGGGGAGCGAAATGGGACAGGAAAAGATGCGAGAGCTCCAGCAGGTTAGGCCTCAACTGTGCCCCCTCCACACGCCATCTCCCTGGGCCTGGGCCAGGGCAAGGAGGGCCCTGCTGTGTCTGGCCGCGGGCAGCACTGACCCCAGGCTGCGGGAGACCCTGGCAGCTTGCTTGAAAATTCTGGGCTTGTGTTTGTTTCTCCATTTGGGCTGGAGAAGGCAGAGAGCGGAGCACAAGCACAAAAGCCATGAAAAAGGCTGGGTAGGAATGGAAGAGGCGTGTGAGCAGACAGCAAGGGAGGCAGAGCCAGCAGGGAGAGGGAAGGGCTGTTTTGGAGCCCAGGATGGAGAATAAGCGCCTGGGGCAGGAGGACTCAGGGCCAGGGTAGGGCTGGTGGTGAGGATCCAAGGGCTGAAAATGAGGCCATGTGTGTGTGGTGATCAGATCTTTCCTAAGAATTGCAAATAGATTATTAATATGAACAAAACCAACCTCACTAATAATCTAAAATGGCAAATTAAAGTGATAAAATTCCACTCTTATTTAACAACAACAACGAAAAACAATAAAGCAAAGATACGGGAGTCTCTTTCAATTGTTGCTGATAGGAGCTCAGATTGTCAAAGTCTTTTTTGTGGGGAGCAGCAGTTTGGTATCATGGACAAAGACTTTAAAAGTGTTCATATTCTAAAGAAACTAACCAGAAATGTGCACATAGCTTAATGCTCTATAATGGTCATCTGGAGCTATTTTTAATTGCCTCAAATTGGCAGAAAGTAAATAATGGTTAAGTAAATCATGATATTCTGCAATAGGATGTGGTCATTGACACTATGTTTACAAAGAACAGTTAATGACAGGGAACTGATTTAAAACCAAATGAAAAAAGAGGATCCTAATGTAATGTATGATCTTGAAAATGAAAACAAAAATATCGGTACAGCCAGACAACAGGTTGTTAAATAACAGTCAAAGAGAGAGGACAATATATAAATATATACCTGCACGATACACTATGTGAACAAATTTTCTGAGTAAGATGTATGGTCTCCCCTTGGTATGAATTACACTTGATCTTAACCAAAAGGCCGAGAAGCGATCCCCTTGGTATGAATTACAAAATAAAAA